AAAAAAAAAAAAAAAAAAAAAAAAAAAAAAAAAAAAAAAAAAAAACAAAAATCCGAACGTACGAATCCGATGAAGGAAACAAAACTTTTGACTAAAGAGAAGGAAAGAAAAGAAACGTTTACGGGGCATAATCTCACCGTGAGCGCAGATAGCATAGTGTCTATGCTATCTCGTGGCAAGTAAGTCCCTTTCAGGTTCGAAACGCTCAGCTGTAAAACCATTAGGCGCTCCTGTATGATGTCCTGTAACACAGCGACGTATTAATGAAGCGTCGAGATTGAACCATCGCGAAGAAAATATGCCGTGCACGTTCGATATCAGTCGGTTAATCTGATGGATTAGAGGGAACTCGTCGAATTTGCAAATCGTAATACGAGGCCACAGGCAGAAAACACATAAATGTATTAAGAAGATGCTGGGATTGTTCTGATACTGAACTACATCAAATAAATTCGATGGAAAGAATGATTTGTCCATGCAGGTTCGAAAAATGAATCAAGATTAAGATACATTGTTATATATAGGGTCTCTGTCATACTAGTCTCGTGTATTGTATATTTTAGAATTGGTAAAGCTTTGAAAAGTACTCTTTTAGGACTGTAAGAGAGAAAGCTGTAAGAAAAAAGAGATATTTAAAAAATACAAAATATGTTACGTAATAGTTCAAGAGAGATTTTTGTTGATCATAATTACGTGGATTGTAACGTGTCGTGTGACTACGAACTGCTTCCTTGAACAAGAATGACATTATTCGACGTTAAAACAAAAAGAAAAATAAGAATCATTTTCTTTCAATGATCTTTCTTTCGAGATCAAGTATCTCGCGCGACTTTTGAAATGTTCTCGTGAACCGCAACGCAAGCAGAAAATCAAGTAACGTTACGCTCGTGCATCAAAATTAAAACAAACAAAAGCCGTGGGCATGCAGATCGTGGAAGGAAACAGAGAGCTATAGTAACAGAGAGAAGCAGTAGCAATGTAGCAGCGCCAACGCGATGATTAGCTATTAACAGCGGCTATCAACTCTGTGAAAACGCGTACGGTGTAAGAAAGTCAGCGAGAAGTATAGAGAGAAGTATAATACACGTTCGATGTATATACGCAATTCGAGAGACAGGTGAGAAAAATGAAAAAAGAGAGAGAGAGAAAGAGAAAAAGAGACGTTGATTAGAAAGTTGAAAAAAAGAGAGAAGAGTAAAATCAACAACGAACGAGGACGATAAGAAAACGGTAAAAAAAAAAAAAAAAAAAAAAAAAACTGTACCAAGCATACACTCTCACACGCGAGCTCGCGAGTCATATATATAATAAATGGACACGAGTCCGCACAACACAATAGTAACAACAACAACAACAATAACAACAACAAGGATAATGAACTCGTTCAAGCTCGATTGGGTAATGATCGAGCGCAGCTTGTGTCGTGATCGCACCTTGATCCCTCGTATCCTCTTTTCAGCCTCATCTTCAGCTACCCTCGTCTCTCTTTCCGTCTCCACGACTGGAGTGCGCCGCTGCATCGATCCTCTTTCTCTACCTAAATTCAGTTCTTTGGGATCTGGACCATGGTCAAGGATGCTTGGTGTCAGGGATAACTCACGTGGATCGGAACGAGTGGACTCTGATCGTCGATCCGAACTCACGATCTTGCGATCGAACTTTAAGGGTTGCTCGCCAGAAGCGACAGTCGACAATGACAACAACTTCGCCTGCTCGGAATTTTTCGACGTCGTATGAACGACAGACTGCAACGACGGTTCATCGACGAATTTCGAAACAGACTGATCGTCGTTGGGACGAACAGAGGACAATTCGGAAGCTAGATCGTCGGAGGGATAGGACGGGTCTGACGTTGGATTCTCGATCTTTTCTGAAATCAGCTCGGCGAGCTGATCCGGTCTCTGCTCGTTCTCGCTCGACAAGTAAGTACTGTAATCGCTCCAGCTACCTATACCGCCTGGCAGATCGGCGATCAAACGTTCAGTGTGTGGCCCACCCATGAAATAAGAATTCAAGGGGCCACCGTTCCCGCCGCGATCGTTCAAACCACCGCTGTTATCCCGATCACCGTCGAAATCATCTTTGTCGTTAGAATCGCGGTTCGCGTCGCCGGAAGGATTTGCTTTCGGATAATTGGCCAAATTCTCGAACAGGTAGCGTTCAGCCTCGTGGTACGGATGCTTGTCCGGCCAGAAACCGCTATCGAGAGAGAGGAATTTAGATCTGCTGAGCTCCGACAAGGTTCTCAAAATTAAGGGCGTTTGAACGGGTTTCTTTTTCTCGGGACTCAGAACCAGAATCTCGTCGGCTATGTAGAATTGCACCTTCGGTTTCGCCGGTTCGATCACGATGTCGACCGTTTCTATCTCGGGCTCGCTGGATATACACTTTTCGAATTCCTCTTCGGTTTCTAACTGAGACTGGATCGAATCTATGGTTATGGGTGACTCGATTTCATCTAATAATTTCTCTATCGATATTTCCTGTCGCGGCATTTGATCGGTCTTTTGAATACCTTCGAACTCATTCACTATTCCCGACTGTATCTCTACGATCTCTTCTGTCTCCGTCTTCTCTGTTATTTCTTCCGGTTTACCATTTACCGTTATTCCATCGATAGTTTCTTCAATCTCTTCAACTGAAATGATTTCATCTTCTTCAATTTCGACAGTTTTGTCTGATATCTCTTCTATGGGAGTTGCTGGTTTCTCTCCAGATATCTTCTTTTCGTCATCCTTACGTGTGTCGCGCGTTTTATCTTTATCTTTCTTTTCTTCTTTCGTAGTTTCCTCTCCCGTAGGATGTACTTTTGAAATTTCCCCCGTTTCTCGTACACTGTCCGTCTCTTTTTCACTTTCAGTTTCTGTCTTCTCTTCGATGACTATTGTTTCTTTAAGAACAATTTCTTCCTTTAACACGTTCTTAACTTCTTCCTCATCTTTCTTAATCTCCTCAGTTGTTGGCTTTTCATCAATCTCTAACTTTCTCGACTCCACATTTGATTCTATTTTCTCTTCAGATATCGTCACATCTTCCCTCTGATCGATTATTTCTTTCGGAGTTTCTGAAGCTGCTGAAACAGCAGAACTTGTACTTAATATATCTGTATCTTTTTCATCCTTTAACGACTGAGGTTCTTCATCTGTGGACTTCGTTGCTGCTTCTTGCTCCTCGTGTTTAATTTTTCTCGCTTGTTTGTTCTTACGTTTCGATTTTTCTGTCAAAGTTGGCATCGTGTCTTCTTGCTTTATATCTTTCCCAGTTTTGTCTGACATTAGTTTAGATTCATCTGTCACTGGTTCAGGTGTTTGAACTATATCTACCACTAATGTATCATCTGCCATTGATTTAGAGGTTTCAGATTTATCTGTTATTGGTTTAGGTATTTCTATTTTTTCTTCAGCAAGATTTTCCACTTCTTCTGCAACTTTTTCCTTTTCTTCAGTTGATTTAGGTAGATCTGCTTTCTCTGGTGTTCCTGATTTCCCTTTTTCCTTGATTACTGGCTTAAATATAGTTTCTGGAACAAGCTTTATTTCATCGGGAACCACTTCAGAGATGATTGTTGTTAATTTCGTAATCTCTTCTAATTTTTCCTTAGTTTCATTTTCATCGGGTGAAATAGATATTGTGTCTTTCTGTTTTACTTCTTCTGGTGTTACAGCAATCGCGCTTGTTTCTTCCCTCTTTTCTGTGACGATCGTCTCTGACGTTTCCTTTTTCAATTTCTCTTCGCTGGTTGCTCGCGTGGCTGACTTTTCTTTTTTCTTTTGCTTTCGTTTCTCCTTCTTCGAAAGTTTACACTTTTCTTCTGTCTGAACTTGTTCTTTCTTTACGTCTGTTATTTCTGTCTTAGTATTTGAAGTCGTCTCTTCAACAGGTGTTTGCGGAGACTTAACTGGTTCCTCTTCAATTTCTTCTTTCTCAACTAACTTTCTTTCCTCGTCTAGTTTAGAATCAATCTTATTTCTCTCATCTGTTGCTCCTTCTTCTATTTCTTTCTTTTCTTCTTCTATCGGTACTTCTTTGATCTCAGATTCAAGTACTTCCTTCTCCTCAACTGATGTTTCGTTGACTCGTTCTGGTACCGTTTCCACTTTCTTTTCCTTAAACTTTCCTTTATGCTTCAGTGTAAGTGTTGATTTTTCTTTTGTCTCTGCCTGAATCTCTTTAATCTCTCTAACTTCTGGCTCTTTCGCTGATAATTCTGCTTTGAGTTCAGATTCAGATACTTTTCCTTCATCAATTGACGTTTTGATAACTTCTTCCGACACAGTCTCTATTTTCTTCTCCTTGGATTTTCCTTTGCGTTTCTCGGTTTTTGTTCCTTCGACAAGTTCAGATTTACTTTCACTTGCTGATTTTGTGACTTCTGTCGCTAGAATTTCCTTATCCTTGGCGTCTGGTTCCTTCACTAGTATTTCTTCTTTAATTTCGGACTCAGATACTTTCCTCTCTTCGATCGTCGTTTCACCAATTTGTTCTGCTAGTGTTTTTGCTTTCTTCTCTTTAGATTTCCCTTTGCGTTTTTTTGCCGGTGTTGATCTTTCACATTTAACTTCTTCGACGATCTCAGGTTTACTTTCTTGTTCAGTTTCCGTTATTTCTGGTATTTCTCGAATTTTCTTAACTTCGTCTTTCGATCTCGATTCTGTCTCTGTCATCTGAATGATGTCCGGTCGTTCGACTAGTTCTTTATTCTCAGTTTCCTTTTTGGGTTGCTCTTTATCAGATTTTACTTTCTTCGATTTCTTGTTCTTCCTCGTAGCAGGTTGCTCTTTCGTTTCTGTCTTCTTCCACTTGTCCGCGGGCTTAACATTCTTTTTGTCTGTTTCGTTCACTTCTGGACTCTCAGGCTTTACGGCTTTCACGTCTTTTATTTCTTTTATTTCACCGTCTTCTTCGGGTAGTTCGGATTTTACAATTTGCACTTTTTCTTTCACCTTCTTTGTTTCAACCTTCTTTTCAGCCTTTTCTGCTTCTGGAACCTCCGATTTTACAGTCTCCTCTTTCTCTTTCACCTCTTGCTTTATCTCAACTTTCTCTTCAAGTTTCTCTTTTATCGTTTCTTGACTTAAATTAACTTCTTTTGTCTTCGAACTATCTTTTTCCTCCTTATTATCTTTCTTCTCCGGTTGTTTCTGTATCTTCTCTTTCGTGTCAAATTCACTCATTTTTTCTTTACCTTTTTCTTTCTCTTTACCCTTTCCCTGCTCATCTTTCGCTACCTGATTACGATCAGCGTTACTAGACTTCGTTTTACCTTTATTCTTCGATTTTCCTTCCTTTCCTTTATTTCCATCTTTTTTCTTCTGCTCCTCCACCCTCTGCGTACTCGTTTGCTTCTGTTCATCTGCCAAGATTTCTTCAGGAACAATAGGCTTGTCGCTCGACTGTCTCGAGCACTTTTCATCTCGTCTGGAACTTCTGGATCGCGATCTGGATCGTCTGGATCGCAGTTCTTTCCGATTTAAGAATTCCATGAAACCCTGTTCGTCTATCTGAACCACTTCTTCGATCGGTACTGGTTCCGGTGCTTCTTCTACGTTAATCTGTACCTGAGGATGCAAATGTTGTTCAATAATCTGCTCCTTTTTCGCTGATACTTTTTCACTGGCGGGCGATGGATGTGGTTCCAGTGGTTCCACGTGTTTGCTAACTATAGCAGCCCACGAATCTTTCGTTTTCTGTGATGTCTCAGTTTCTGTCACTTCATTCGAAATTGGAGACAGAGTACTAGCCAAGTCATCCGCCATCGCTTCTTTCTCGATTTCTTCCGCCCACGAGGTTGAAATATTTTCCTCTGTAATTAACTCGTCAAACTTTCGATCCGTTATTGTTATTTCTTCAGATTTCGGTAGTTCTTCGACTCGTGGGATTTCTCTGACACTTGGCGACACTTCTTCTGTCTGAAGAGTGATCTCTCTATTCTCGCTTAATTTATCTAAGCTTTGATCAGGCACAAGAGGAATCGGCTTGAGTAACACGACGTCTTCCTGACTCGTTTGCGGAGAAATTCTCTTGCTGGAAGCTGCTACCTGTGCGTACGATTTGTTTGACTCTTTCGTAGTTGATTCCAATTCCAATTCCACTTTCTCGGGAATGGCAGGCCTCACTTCATTTTCTTTCTCAGCTTTCGTATCGATGGAAGACGATCTCGTCTCGGTGACAATCTTTTCTTGCCTGATCTCTTTCTTCTTTTGATGCTTCTTGTGCTGCGTTTGTGGCTCCTCAGGCACAATTTCTACCGTCTGTTCTATTTTCTTCAATTTCGGTGATCCAGTGGCCGATTCTCGAGCAATTGCTTTCACGTCTGACATTTGTGCATTTTCTGCAGGGAGATTGGTTGTTTCAGTAGTTCCTTTCGCACCAACCACGGATGCCCATGATTTGGCGCAAACTGATTGAACTACTTCCTTAGATACTTCTTTCGTTTCTGCTTGTGTGTCTTCTTGCTTAGTTCCTTGCGGAGGAATTTCAATCGAAGTTTCTCGAGGGACCGATGCTTGAGGTATTTCGCTTGTCTTTCTCGATTTTCCATCGCGTTTTTTCTTCGAATCTAGCGAACCGATCTCTTGTCTCTCTTGCTTCTTTGTTTCTTTTTCTGGGATAGACTTGGCTTTGGTGTCAGGCTTATCTTTAGACTGTTTCTGTTTGCTTGATTTGGTCTTTGCTTCCTCTTTCTTAGATTTATCAGCAGGTTTAACTTTGTCTTCTTTCAACGGTGATTGGAGTGCATCTTTTATTTCTGGTTCTTTATTAGTTATTGTTGTCTCAGCTGCGACAGTAACAAATTCTTGCGACGGGGGTTTCTCCTCTGTGCTTAACTTTTTCTCCTTCGTCATTTGTTTAACGTTCTCTTTCTTCTTGGATTCTTTAGGAGCCTCCTTCTTTTCAGGCTTCTCAACTTTCTCCTTAATTGGAATCTGTGATTCTGGGATAATTTCTTTCCTTTCGCCTTGTTCCTCCTTATCTTCTTTCAATTTCGTTTCCTCGTTTGCTCTTTCTGCTGGAAGTTTTTCCTCTTCGTCAACGTTTGATTTTAACACGATTAATGACTCTTCTTTTGTAATATCCTTTTCTAGCTTCTCTTCTTCTTTTCGATCGACTATTTCGTCTAGTTTCGTGACAAGCTGTTTCGCAGTCAACTCTATAGTTTCAACAACCCCGGCATCTATCTTCTCAGTTAGGTCAAGCTCCTTGAATGTTAATAAATCCTCCTCCTTAGTTTCTTTTTCCTCAGTCGTCATTGTAGTTCTGTTTAATTCTTCAACATCTTTCTTCTCAATTACTTCAGGCTCCTCGACCGGTAACGACGTCTCCTTAATTTCTCCTTTCGCAGTCGTAGTAGGTTCAACGATTTTGATTAATTCTTCATCCATCTTCTCGACTACTTCGGGCTCTTCAGCTGGTAATTTTATCTCTCGCTTCTCTTCTTTCTTAGCCTTTGATTTCTCATCCTTTGCTTGCCTCTCTTTCTTCGATTTCTCTTTTGGCTTTCTATCAGGCATCTGCTCTTTCTTCTTCTGGATCTCAGTTCCACTTTTTCCTTCTCCATCTTCGATTTTTCTCTCCGGCATATTCTGCTCCTTCTCCTTCTTCAGCATGTCAAGTTCCTTATTCACATCCTCGATAAGAGCTGCCGTTTGATCCAGAATTATGTCTGTAGATTTCGTAATTTCCGTGGTGATTTCAGCGATAGTTCTCTCCTCCTTAACGTCTCCTTCTGACATTTCCCGAGCTTCTAATCTCTCGGGATGTTTCTCCTCTCCTCGAACCTGCATTTCTTCCTCTTTTGCAAGTTCCAAAGATTCTTCCAAAGAAGTCGACGTAACTTCTTTCTCTTTAACTATCTGCTTGGACTTTGCCCATTCCGATTCCAGTTCGTAAAATGTGCTAATTGGATACTTCAGAGTTTCCTTGAGAAGGGAAAGTTTTCTACACTCAGCCTCAGGTTGTGCCGTGCCTTCTAACTTTTCAGGCTTCCTCATAACCGATTCTTGAACTATTTTCTCAATGTTCTTCGACCTTGGAATCGCGGAAGCAGGCACATTTTCCTCGATTACTTTTACCACTTTGAAACGACGATGGAAATCAATTTCTGCCTCCATGTACGGACGATAATCGAACCAGTACGGTTTGACCAAGTCTGTGAAGTAATACGGATTAACCGTCTCCATCTTTTTTCTTTCAGCTACACTCGCCTTGTCTTCAGATTTGGAAATATCAAATTTCCCAGAAACTTCTACCGATTTGTCAACACGTCTCTTGTCTTTTTTATTCAAGCTTACTTCACGAGATCTTACATCAGATTCCTCTTTTTGTTGAACGCTAGAAGAAGTCTCTTTCAATTCTTCACTCATCTTTTGCTTCTCTTCCACAACTTTACCTTCGCTCTCTACCTTTAACTCGTCCGAATCTTTCGATTCTGGCAGCTTTTCTAATGATTCTAACTTCTCCTTTTCTTCTATAATTTTATCTCCACTCTCCAGTTTTAACTCACCCGAATCATTCGATTCTGGTAATTTCTCTGATAATCTTAAGCTTCCTTCCACAATTTTATCTTCGCTCTCTACCACTAACTCGCCAGAATCTTTCGATTCTGAAAGTTTCTCTGATAATCTTAAGCTCTCTTCCAGAATTTTACCTTCGCTTTCTAGCTTTAATTCACCCGAATCTTTCGATTCTGGCAATTTCTCTGATAATGTTAAGCTTCCTTCCACAATTTTATCTTCGCTCTCTACCACTAACTCTCCAGAATCTTTCGATTCTGAAAGTTTCTCTGATAACCTTAAGCTCTTTTCCAGAATTTTACCTTCGCTTTCTAGCTTTAATTCACCCGAATCTTTCGATTCTGGCAATTTCTCTGATAATGTTAAGCTTCCTTCCACAATTTTACCTTCACTTTCTAGCTTTAATTCACCCGAATCTTTCGATTCTGGCAATTTCTCTGATAATGTTAAGCTTCCTTCCACAATTTTACCTTCGCTCTCTACCACTAACTCGCCCGAATCTGTCGACTCTACGCTTGCAGTTTCTCCAATAATTTTAATTTCCTCCTGAACGATCGTCCTATCAGCCTCAGTCTTACTCTCGACCGATACGTCCTCAGATTTACTCTGCAAAACCTTCGCGTCCTGTTCTTTCTCTACAACATCCAACTCCCTCTCGTCTCTCGCGCTTCCTACAGATTTTGGAGTTCCGGAACGACCTCTCCTCCTATCCTGAACGCTACCGAACAGAATCGGCTGATCATCTTTAACAAGATCGTCGATATACGTCGCGTAATCGGAAATCGACTTGTCAACGTCTGCTAACGTGTCTAACACCTTCGACGGGATACCAGCGGCTGAATCATTCGATACCCTAGCATGCTCGGTGGTTAGGCTAGTCTCTACTATATCAGGACGCAGGGTGATTAATTCGGTGGATTTGGAGTCTACGACCACGAATGAGGGAATATTTTCTACGTTCTCTACCGATTTTGTCGCGAGTTTGTCGTCGAATGGCTCAGTTTCGATACTGATCACCGTGGTTACCGTTTTCTCGACGATCGACGATTCCTCCGGCGAACATGATCGTTCGACTAACGAAACAGTATCTGAAACCTTTACAGCTTCTTCTTTCTTGGAAAGAGAAGAATCATTCGTCGTGCATGGTTTTTCAATTAAATCTTGCAACTGAGATTCAGATTCGTCAGACTTTGTCACTGAAGTTTCTTCGACTCGGATCACTTCTTTAAATATGTCTTGCTCTTTGTCTTCAGGTTCTGTTACGAACGGTTCTACCTTTTCGATAGATTTTTCAGGAGCTACTTCAGATGTTTTTCCAACTAATGATTGTTTTTCGATTGATTTCACATCTCCGCTAGGTTCCTCAGTGACTGTCTTTCGTTCTGGTTGCGGAGATTCGACTGTAACTCTATCTTTACTCTCCTGTTTCTTCTTCTTTTTCTTATCAGACTTCGGTGTGCTTGGTTGACTGGATTTTGATTCTTCTCTGGCTTCGACAACAAAAACTGGACTAGTTTTCTCGATGACACATATTTCTTTTGATTTACCTGCTTTGTTGGACTTTGATGATGTTCTTGAAGATTCGGTTTTTCGCTCCGGTTCGTGGATATTGGGCTTATCTGCTTTTGATACTTCAGGAAGAAGAAGAGTTTCTTCTTCCTTCTTCGCGTCATTGATTTCAACTTTTTCAAGTTCTTTTGGTTCTTCAGAAGATTCTTCCATCTCTTTTACTCCTGATATTTCGACGTTTTCTATGGGTTTTTCTTCAGTAATTGTCTTTTTAATGTCAGATTCTACTTTAGTTTCCTCTGTTACATCAACAACATTCTCTTCTCTCTGAATCGCACTAGTTTCTTCCTGAACTTCGGTAATAATTTCTTTTCTCATTTCCTCCGCAAATATTTGTCTGCCAGTATCGATTTTACCATTCTCTTCTTCTAACTCGACCGTTTCTATCTCTTCTTTTTTCTCTTTAGATTTCTCGTTTCCTTCCACAAGTGTAGAACTTTCTTCTTTCTTTGTTTTCATCGGTGACTTAGACTCCCTACGTTTTTTCTTTCCACATTGTTCTTTATTTGGTGTGGCGGGTTCAGATTTCAAATATTCCTTTTTCGATTCTTCCATGACGATCTTCTCCTCTTTAATTAACTTTTCTTCAACGATTCGTTCGTCTTTTTCAGAAACTTCTGTTACTTGAGCTGTAGCTTCCTGCATCTCCGATTCAACTACTTTCTTCGGTTCTTCCTTTGGATCTTTCGAGTCTTTTTCCGAACCTCTCTTCGAATTTTTATCCTCTATCTCTGTTTGCTCTTCATCAGATTTATTCTGCTTTTTCTCTCCTTCAGTTATCGGCTTTTTCTCTACGTTTTCCTGCACCGCTGTTTCCAATGTCGATGCATCAGCTTCGCCGATTCCCATCGTCGACTCTATCACGCGAATCAACGCGCTTATTATCGCCTTCTGTTCCTCCTTATCATCTGCTTTAACCTCTCTCTTCTCGTCGAATTCTACATCTTTCGTCACTTCTAATTTCTCAATTTCAGACTTCTTCTGTCTCGATTGATCCTTGGAAACTTCTTGCTCGTGTCCTTGTTTCTGCTTCTTATTCCTCTTGCTCGACTTCTCTTGCTCTTTGGGTTTCGTCGGTTCTTTCTCTTTCGACTCGCTTTGTGATTTATCCTTGGATTTAACTTTAATTTCTGGAGACGTCTTAGCTGTTTTCACAGATTTCGTACATTTTGTATCTTCCTTCTTCATCTGTTCCAAATTCTGAACGCTCTCGGCTGTATCTGATTTCACGTCTTTCTGATTTTCTACTTTATCTTCACTAACAGTTTTCTTAACTCGCTCTGAATCTATGTCGACTCTCGTGGGTTTAGTATCTTTGTTAGACTTGTCTCTCACTGCGGCAAGTTGTTCTTTACCCTTCTGCTTCTTCTTGGACGTAGGTTCTTTCTCCTCCCTCGCGTCAACCTTCACTTCAGGTTTCTTTTCAGGTTCCTTCTTTCGACTTTCAATCTTCGCTTCTTTCTCCTTAACATCATCCTTTACGTCTCTTTTCTCAACATCTTTCTCCTCTCTGTTCTCTTTCGCATCGTCTTTCGATTTAACCTGTTCCTTCACATTAGATTCCCTTTGATTTACTCCAGTTTCTGGCTCGTCTTTAACCTTCTCCACTTTTGACTTGTTCTGTTTCTTCCTCTCGCTAGATCTCACATTTTTCTTCTCGCTTTCTTCTTTTGGTTTCTCCGCCGCATCTTTTTTAGCCTGTTCTCTCGACTTGTCTCTCCTTTTGTGCTTGTCCATGTCCTCGATCTCTTTCAGTGCCTTCTCTATTTCATCGTCCTGCTTTTCTGTCTTCTTCTTCTTCCCCTTTCGTTTCTTCTCCTGAGACCTGCTTCTCTGTTGAACACCAGCCTCGGCTTCCTTGCGAGTATTCTTCTCGTCCTGCTTCTGAGCTTCAACTCTCCTCGGTTTTTCACCATCCATTTGCTTCTCTGGCTTAACGTCATCCACTTTCTCCCTTTCAATCTGAACCTCGCTACTCTTTAGAATCACTTCAGAAACCACCTTCGAATCTTTCACAACAATCTCGTCATCTTTAATATCGAGTACCTGCTTCTTTTGCTCGGCATTGGCCCTGGTTTTATCTTTCTGGCCTCTTTGAGATCCTGCCGGCGAGATTCTTGGTTGCGATCCTCTGCGAGCCTTCTTCTCAGGAATTCGCGTCTTCGGCGACTCTTGATGAGTCTTCCTCGTCTCTCGCCTCCTCGACGTGTCCCACGCGCCTCCCTGTTTGCCTACCGACGACTCTCGAACCTGTCTAGCTTCCTGAGGAGGAGTCGTCTCGTGCACTGAGGACGTTGTCGAGTTCACCGGTGAATGCGAATCTTCTTGTCTCGACATGGACGTCGTCGTTGTCGGGGACTGACTACTAATAGCCGACGACGTTGGCTTAGGATTGAGACCCTGCGACAAAATCTGAGCGTAGGAGAACGTCTTGCTCTCGCTTGATACGGTGCTTTTCGTCTTAACGGGCGTGCTTTCTGAAACTGGCGCAGGAACTGGTTGTACAGGTTGTTGCACAGATTGTTCTGGTTCTACCGATTTCTCTGGTTCTTCAGGAACTTCTTCCGTTTGAGCAGGTTGAACAGATGGCTCGACGTCCACAGGCTGCTGAGTCTTACGAGGCAGACACTTCTCCTCGACGTTCTGCACAACGACAGTGGTACTCTTCGGCGGAGCTTTGAATTTCGATTGATGCGGCTGCCTCTGCGAATGCTTCTGACCTTGCTGGTAAATCTCTGGCTCGGAGATGTAGTTAGCCTGCGTCGCGTACGGTTCCGACGCGAAGGCTATCTGGCTCTCGGTGTAATGAGGAAGAGCCATCTGCTGGGGCGGTGCAGCTGGCATGTAAACGTAGGAACTTATTGGATAAGCGATCTGAGATCCGATGAACCCAACCAATTCGGTGATAGGCGGATGAATGTAGTTGTAGACCTCGGGAACTTGCTGCGTTGTTGCAACTGGCTGCCTTGAAACGTTTTCGTAGCTCTCCTCGTCCAGTAGAACGTACTCGTCCACACTTTCGTCTCTCCAGCCGGCTTCAGCTTCGCTCGGTTTCTCGACCGCTTCCACGGGAGACGCGACCTCGCGTACCACTTCGGGCACGACTTCGGCAGGCTGTTGCTGGTAACTCTCCATCTCTGTTTCCTCAGCTGGTTGTTCCGCGACTGAAGATTCTTCAATTTCTTCCTCCACTTCGAGTCTAGGCACCTGAAACTCTATCTTCTGCCGAACAGCTTCAGAAGATTCCTCGACCACCGTTTCTCCAATTTCTCTTCCAACCACGTGGACATCCTTCCCGGTCTCCACCGAGGGACTGCGAGAACTCTGTCTGTTCCCGCGAAGAATATCCGCGTATGAAGTAGATCCGGGCGCCCAAATGGGACTAGCGGATCTTCCTCTCCTCTCGATTTTAGGCGCCAGCGTATTCTTAATCGTCAACGGCTCCTTCCTCTGTTCCACCACCGATCTAGGCGTCTCCGACTTAGAAGTCTCGTTGTCAGCCTCCGCGGACGAATTTCTCTCGCGAGATTCCCTGATCCGTTCTTGAACGTCCTTCCTCGCAGAGCCAGATCTTCTCGGTTGATTTCTCAATCGGCAGCTCACCGAATCGACTTTGGAGACGTGTCTTCTTACCTCGGCTCTCGCTTCGGGCTCCCTCTGCTCGCTCTGCTCTTCGAACTTCGTCGCCTGTTCCTCTTTCGCCTTCGTTTCGGCTCCCGTGACGTTCGGTGGAGCATCGTCGCGGATCGGCTCGGAAGCTGGTTGTTTCTGGGCTTCGATCGTTCTGGACAGTTGCACGGTGGGTTTGAGCACCTGAATCGAGAGAGGAGTCGACGAAACCTCGTCCCGCGAGGGGTTTCTGAACGGGCTAGAGCCCCTCGAGCTCGGGCTGGAACGACCAGCGGCGATGTCCGCGTACGAGACCTGATTGACAAGCCTTGTCTCGTTGCTCTGTACAAAGAACGGGTCCACGGCGTATATCTGATCCAACAGTATCTTCGCCCGCTGCCTCCAATCGTCCATCCTTTGCTGCAGGCTCTGCTTTGTCCGCCACGGAGGGACAGCCAAGGCACAACAATGGAATACACATACGTCAATTTTTCTGGGTGATTTTCTCTAT